AAAATAAAATAAAAATAATAATAAAATTTAGAATATTAAAAATACGTATAACACCAAATATTTTTAGACTTCATTTAGTTCGTAAAATTATGATTATTATTAGTATTTGAAAGATCTTTAGAATTCCCAATATTTTCAGAATTCTGGATTAAGAGATCATCATATTGCGTCATTTACGTGACTTCATTATGACTGGTTAATTGCTCTGTTAACAACGCGAAATGATAAAAAAATATATTGTAAGTTTTATTTTGGGTGTTAAATTTTTAAACAACTTGAAATGAACTTTTAGTATTCAAGCAAATTTTAATAAAAATATTAATAATAAATTTTTTTTAATTGCATTTTGAAAATTGAAAAAAAATTATCCATTTGAAAAGTATAATTATAGTTTAATATCTACAATTTAAAATAATTTCAGTTAAGCTTGAAATCTCATTAAAAAGGTAATCAATTTGCTAAAGCTGAATCTTTTACAAATAAGTTTAACTATTACAAAATGGTCAATAATTTTATGTAAACCATAATATATTTATGAATAATAACTCATATATTTATTAAATAATAAAAATATTTATATAGTATGTTTAATTAAATATTGATCAATTTTAATTTGTTTCTTTTGCGCAAATAAAAAATTATTATGTCATATAATATTAAACTAATTCTCAAAGAACAAAATACCTTACCTGTTTAAAAATTTTTGAATTTGTAATAATAAAACATGTTATATTTTATATCTATCATTTTAATGCAGTTTAATCATTAGATTGTATATGATCAACTTAAAATAAGTATTTTCGTAAAATGCTTAAGTTTTTATCCTCAAGTGGGTTGTAATCATGTAGCTGAACTAATGTCATAATTTTAAAATTAAACTAATAATAAATTAATTTATTAAAAATTTTTCAGACAAAGTAACTACAATTCACAATAATATATAAAGTTTGTTTAGGTGAGCCCTTTTTTAAAGTAAGTTAGTTTTATAAGAATGCATTATTTCATTTATGGATTATCACTATTTTTTTCTTTATTAGTATTCATGACTGCTCTCAATTATATGACTTATTTTACAAAGTTAACGAAGTTGACAAATTATTGTTATATTAGATATATTTAATATACTGTATTTATAATATTTATTATGTAGTAACACTATAACTGAAGAGATACAGCATATGTTCTAACTTCACATGATTGATATATTCAGTCACATTTTCTGTTTGATTAATTAAAAAACTGGATATATTTGGGTGTTTACCTTTATTGCAATAATGTGTAGCTAAATGAATTAGAAATACATGATTCAAATCAATTACTCCTTTCTTATATATCGAATAAATAATGCTATCATTGTAAATATGAACTGCTATATAATTATAAGGTATGATCTAATAATATATCTTAAAATCATATTCTACATGATCTAATCTGCAAGAATTGCATATAAAAAATATAATAGAATGTATATTAATATTTTTTTCATGTCTATTTTTTTTCCCTTATCGAAAATTCAGGTAAAACTTATATATCTCTCAGAAAATCACAGATCTCAAGAGATCAATGCCTTATTCTAATTCTTTTTTAATCTAATAATATAATAAATTGTATCAGGTTAAACTTTTAATAAAAAGTAATAATTGATCTTTTTAAAATCTTTATTGAAAAAGTATATTGTAAAATTTTTTTTATTTTAAAATCATCTTGATCTTTCCTTTTTATCTAAAAGAATAAACTTATTATTCTCATTTTTGAATTTTTTTTTAAAAAAAAAAATATTGCAATTTCGAATCTGAATTGATTTTTAATATCAATATTCAAATATTTGAAATATAATCTGTATTTCAAACGGAAAACCCTAATTTAAGAAAAGTTACTAATTATTATTATTTTTATTTTGTTTATAAAAAATGATAATCATTATCTAATATTGCTTTGTTAAAATTATTTTTAAATTTATGATATTATTTATCATTTTTTTTTTAAATTAATTATTATTATTTAATTTTTAACTAAATATCTAAATTTTTCAATAATTATAATCAAAAAGAAATTTTGTACTGATATTACCAAACCAGTTATCACAAAGAAACAAAATTTTGCTTTGGTTACTTATTCTATTTACTAAACTTTTCATTTTAACACTATTTATTATACATCTATTCATAGAGAAGTTAGTTTATTGCAGCTTTTCCTGATTATTCTAATATTATAGAACTGGTGAATATAATCGATAGGTTTATCAAAGCATATACTAAACTCATTACTATATATTTTTTTCTGATTGCAATATAAGTCAGTTCCAAATTTCAACTAGAATGTAATTTATTTTTGAATTATCAATTCTAAGTCTATTTGATATTATAACTAGCGTTATAAATGGCAAATGTGATTATATAAGCCATGCAATATTGAGATATTCTATTGCAAATTTAAAGTAATGAAAAAGCTTAAGATGCCAGTAACTTTATAGAAAAATAATTCATATCAACAAATCCATTCCTTTTTTATATTATTTTTTTTTGATTATTAAATTTTTCAAATTTATTTTTTTGTTAGAATCAGTCTGATCTTTTGATAGGAATGGGAAAGATTTCATTTTAGTACCTACTTCAGCTTTCTAAAGTAAATTAGAACTAGAAGTGTCAACTTAATTTATATAAATAAAGCATGAGATGTTAAAAATTTTTGACGGAGTAAAAAAATTTTAACCTTAAAATGAATTTTCAAGATTCATAATACACATTTAGGGCTTTTATAAAACTTCTAAAAGAGAATATGATAAAGCAAAGTGCAAAGGTTTATTTATAAACAAATTGTGTAACTTGTGATAGTGAAAGATTTTAAACTTTAAAACTTGTAACTGAACAGAAAATGCATATCAATGTTTTAAATAATGAATTAGTAAAAACTGTAAAATATTTACTGATTAATTCCACTTGTCATTCCATATTCATAGTATTTTAAATATTATGCAAGATAGAAAAGAAATTAAAAATAATGAGCAGAATGATAATTTGGATGATGACTCTAATGATGAAGCTTCGTTTCAACAAAATCCGAATTTCAAGAAACAAATAATCTATGTTGTATAGAATGGCTTCAATAGGTTTTCCTTATGTTTATTCTGTAAAATCATTCTATTCATTTTAAATGCAAGGTAATTATCTTTTTATGAGATAATAATATAAATTTATATTTTTTTATCATATGCCATAAAAGTATAAACCATATTTGAATAAAAAATCAAATTTATTTTTCACAGTAAGCTTTACAGAAACCCATCAATTTTGAAAAATATATCACTGTTAGATAGCAATTGTATGTTTAGCATATAATTGAAATATTTCAATGTTTGTAATATGATTATAAAATAATTAACAGAAGTATAAAATATGTTTGTAATATCTTTTATATATGCTAAAAATTGAGTTTAAAACTTACACACAATAGCATTTAATAAAATAATACAATCATTATGCAAATAAAAAAAATTCGTACATAATATAGAAATATATTTTATGATATTATCATCATATTTTGCAAATATTAGCATCATAAATAACAATATTCAGGTGTCAATATATGAAAATGCTTGGAAAATACACTGTTATCTTAATATTCATTTTCAGATTGAGACTTCAGAGAATAATTTGTATTACACATCATCACATCATTTTGTTATTGAATTATTTCGTTTCTAAGAGAACTAAAATTTATAGATAGAAAATATAAAGCAATTTTATAAATGTATTTTTTCTAATTCATTTACAACTACATTAAGTGATATATTTACAATAATAAAAACAGAAATTACTTTAATATAACGAAAATATTGCAAGCATAATTTGATAAAATAAATACCCATTATTAATGATTTGTTGCTGATTTGCACTTGTTCAACCTAAGAGTTCGCATACTGATGATTCCTTTACTACACCAGGTTTTGTAAGGATTTTTAAGTCAATTGTGATTTCTTCACATGTTTTAATAACCTGTTGTGTATCCTCTCCCATTATCATGGCTATCAAGACCTTTTTAGTGACCATTCGTAC